GTATRTGTGCAGAAAGTGGCCACATTGCCAATGTAATGGTTGTCACTAAATTGAAAAATATTACAACAATAAAGCAATATTAGGACAATATTATAGTAAAACATCAAAATACAATCGTATTAGTGTTGTAAACACTGAACTATTGAGATTAAATATTATTAAACTATGGTTCAGTACTGAGTAGATACAGCAGAGGCAGTATTGGACCAATACAAGGCTCCATTGACTGCCATTATAAATTTTTAAACATTAATATTTCCAAAAATATAAGTTGTACAGACACCAAAAGGCATAGCCATCATTTGGCACAGGAGCTTTAAAGATATAAATTAAAATGGCAGCTCTAGGACAAAGTATGCAGGAGGAGAAGCGTGCCAAAGTGGAGATGACTTGGATGAGAAACGAATCACAATAGTGTGCATTGCCAATGCACACTGATTACAGGCCAGTTTTCCAACTTCTTTTTGCTCCGAAGAACATGTTTAAAACCAAATGTTTTAAGAATGCAGCTGAAATAGAACAACTTATTTAGCTTTTACGATGCTGCATGGGTCTGAGAGCTTCGTTTAAATTGATCTTTAAAGAGCTGTAAAAGTTCTGACGCTCAGAAAGACTAAAACTGTAAAAAAAAAAAAAAAACTTCAACGCTGTGCTTGAAAAGCAGCAGATTCTTCAGTCTTCCTTCCAAACCGTCTGTTGGACATGTCCTCCTGATGGAGGGTTTCAGGCTGTAATTACAGCGAGGACAGAGAAGGAGCTCACCGCTAACACTGCGCCTCAGATCTGTGAGGGTTTGGAAACGACTCGCCGACCAGGTTTCCTGAATCCACTCACAGAAAGAAGAATGTCTAGAGAGGAAGATAAAAAAACGTCTTGGAGAGGAGATGATGAGACTTAAAAACAATCTGAAAGCTTCTTCAAACCCAGAAAGTCCTGAATAAGACTCAAAAACAGCCAATCAGGATCAAGTATTTCTGTTTAAATTATAAAGTGAGTCAAAACAGACGATGTCAGCAGTTTGGTGACGTGTAAACCAGAGAGCAGAGTCATAACACACACACACACACACACACACACACACACACACACACACACACACAGAGTTTATCAGGGTTCAGGACTCCAGCAGAGCAATAAAAAATGTCTAAATTCTCTGCAAGAAAATCAGCATTTTCTGCTGAAACCGGTGAATGCTAACTACATGCTAACTAAAGGCTAGCTAAATGCTAACCAAATGTATCAAAATAGTACAAAAACAAATGTAAAATAAAGGGGAAAAATAAAACAGGTGATTGTATCTTGACAGCAATACCTGCAGTCTACAGCTAGAAGCTAAAAGAAGCAGAACATTAGCTACAAGCTACATAAAGCTAAAATAAACAAAGCACATGGCTAGAAGATAAAATAACTGAAAACAAGCTCATTTACAGCAGGAAGAAGATTAGATAGAAAGGATGCAAAATAACTGCAAGTTGTAAAAGTAAAACATTATAAACTAATATAGGCAGAACATCAGCTAAAATATAATCCAGAAGCTAAAAGAAGCAGTAGCTAGTAGCTAAAGAAAACAGAACACTAGCTATAAGCTATAGTTATAAAAGCGAAACATTCTAAACTAAAAGAACATTGGCTAAAAAGAAGATTAGCTAGAAGCTAAAAGAAGCAGCATCTAGTAGCTAGAAGAAGCAGAACAGCTATAAACTAAAGGATGCAAAATAGTTGCAAGTTATAAAAGAACATTATAAACTAACAGAACGATGGCTAAAAAAATAGCTAGAAGCTAAAAGAAGCAGAACATTAAGAACACGGCAAACAAGAAGAAAATTAACTTCAAGCTACTAAAAGCTAAAAGAAGCAGAAAACAAGCTGAAAAACAAGCTAATATAAGTACAACGTTAAATAAAAGCTAAGAACAGCAGAATGCTATAGAAGCAACTAAGCTAAAGGAGCACAAACATCAGCTGTCAGCACGGTGGTGGAGGGTTGATGATTTGGGCTCCTTGCAGTCACTGAGTGGACCACGAGGTCCTCTGTGGACCAAAAGATCCATGTTTGTGACTGAACCGGGTCCAGCAGGACAACAACAGCTAACTGCGTCATTTTCCTTTAAACTTTAAAATAATTCAAGCTGCCTTCGATCAGTCAGCATCTGGAAGTGAAAATACTAAAATACTTTAAATATCTGTATTTATCTGGGTACAGAGTGGGTTTTTTTTCCTCCAGATGTTAAATTTTCTTTATTAWATTATTATTTTGTCTTGTTGACGTGGCASCGAGCTGCTCAGGTGCTGATTTCACTGCTTTTCACATCCAGACATGAACCAACCTGCAGAGTTAAACCGTTTAGAAACACCAGAGGAGGGGAAGAAAGACAGAAAAAAAAGTAATTACAGTTTTACAGAAAAGCTCTGCCACGTTTCCAGCAGAGGGTGAGGATGGCAGCAGCAGGGTGTGAGAGGAGAGACAGGAGGAGGAAGAAAAGGCTGTCACGTAACAAACACCACCTCCTTTTCTTTCTCCTCCTCATCRTCAGCCGGACGTCCAGGCAAAATGGAAAACGCCACGTTGCAGCGCAGCTCCCTCCCCCTCCTTCCTCCTCCTCAGCCAGCTGTTCGTCACATCATCTGTGGGAGCAGACAGGAGCAGAAACAGGCCTGTTCTCTGTCTGCGCTGCAGACGGCAGGTGTTCGGACCCAGACCCATAAAACTGAGCTGAACTGACGACACGTACGACTCAGAGCAGAAACATGCTGGAACTTTGTGGAAATTATGTGAAACTGCAGAAAATAAATCAGAGAAATCTTCTCTTAGTGCCGAGATTTTCTTTGATTTCACTGAAGTGAAAACAGATTAAAGATAAAAGCTGCTGATGACATTAAATTAAACTAAAGTAACTGCGTTTCCAGTGTGAAAACTTTAGCTGAAAATGTTTTATAGCAAAACTGTTGATGCCAGTTCAATCTGAAAAACTGAAAGAAGCACAAAGAGCAAAAAGAAGCAAAATAATAGCTAAAACAGCTGGAAAAAAGCTAAAGCTACAATTAGCATAAAACCAAACAAAAGGTAGCACCCAGATGGTGAAAGGGGTGTAAAAATATAAAATTTGTAGAAAAAAAGAATAAAAAAATTTAAATGCTATTGTTGCAAGTGGCTGAATATAGCAGAAATCAACTGTAAGAAGTAGAAAAATAGAAGAATAGCTGAAAGAATTAGAATTGTAGCTGAAACAACAGGGAAAAAAAGCTAAAATTAGCATAAAAAGAAGCTAAAGGTAGCAGACACAAGTTGAAATTAGCACGGTGACAGCAATGTAAACATGTCAAATAGTAGAACAAACAAGAATATAAGTACAAAATCAATTGTTTCAATTTGTTGTCAAATAGCTAAAACAGCCAAAATGTGCAGTAAAACAGCTAAAATATAGCTAGAAAATCTTAACTTAGCACAAGGAAGCATGAGGAGCACAAGTTTGCTGAACCAAGCAGAAAAAAGATGAAACAGCCACCATAATGTGAATTTAGCCTAAAAAAGCTAACTTTAGCTAATAACAGCTACATTTTAGCAAAAGTTGTTGCAAGTAGCTGAAGATAGTAGAAAACAACTGTAAGAAGCATAAATAGCAGAAATAAGCACAAAAAGTAGAAAATAGAAGAATAAAAGCATGAAGTAGAATTATAGCTGAAACAGCAGAGAAAAGCTAAAATTAGCAAAAACGTAGAAATAGCACAAGAAAGTAAAAAAGAGCAGAACCAGAACAAAATTAGCTTGTTTTTGTGTTTTTCTTCTATCCATGTGTTTTGTTTATTTTAGCTTTTTTGTAGCTTGTAGCTAATGTTCTGTTTCTTTTAGCTTCTATCTGCTGCTTCTTTTAGCTTTTATCTAGTGTTTTACTTACTGTAACTGCTTGTTTTCAGGGGGKTTTTTGTGGAAAGAGAAAGGTGCCAAAGAACATACGGAACAGTTAAAGAATAATAAAGACAAAGATAAAAAGTTTATAGTTATTAATATAAATTCAAAAACACAACCAGATAAAAAGTTTAATTCTTTAAAGGAATCACCCACAGAAACAGGTAAATCTGGAGACAACTCTCAGCTACACAAACAACAAACCTGAGCTCAGYATCTGGAAACCTGACCAGGAGGTCCACGTTTCTGTGTTAGCTAAGGCTAATTAGCCGTGGCGGCCATCTTGAATGGGGTTGAGTCATTTCAATGATTACACTTGAGAGTTGAATTTGTCCCAACAGTTCCAGTCAGAACCAGGTCCTGATCCAGATACTGAGTCAGACCACGAGCGCAGAGCTGGAGTCTGACCTTTGACCTCCAGAGTGGAAATGTTAGCGTGTCTCCATCACAGGGTTGGTTTTCTCATCAGTTTTTAACGTTAAGATGAGTTAGAACAAAGATCTGATAAAAAGTGCTAAAAACTTTAATTTACATTGAGGGAAGAAATGATGAGGATGATGTGATCACTGAGCAGGAAGGACTGAGTAAAAAAAAAATACATCYAGAAATCTTTTACAGCAGGAGGATCAAACTCACTTACACAAGAAGGCCAACGCTGTCAATATTTGTTGAATAAAATGTTTTTAAAACATTTTTTTCTTATAGAAATACAAATGACCAAATCAGTAAAAGAAAATATGTTACTGAAAATTTAATAATTTTACTTTAAACTGCATAAATACATAAAAAAGAGTGAAATTATAAAACTGTTTTATTTTTAAAACATTACATTTGGGCCCAAATAAAATGATAATTAGGGCCAGATTTGGCCCACGGGTCTTGAGTTTGATAATATTATTTTCCATGTTGCATTTAGGAGCCCTCACATAAAACACATTTTGTTCAGACTATCTGTGGGAACAGAACCAGTCCCTTTGGGGCCAGATAAAATTGTAATGAGGGCTAGATTTGGCCCACAGGCCTTGAGTTTGTTTTTTAAAGCAACATTTATTTTTGTGTTTTTTTATTATTATTATTTTCCACGTTGCATTTAGGAGCCCTCACAGAATCAAACACGTCAGGCCTCAGACCGTCTGTGGGAACAGAACCAGTCCCTTTGGGGCCAGATAAAATGATAATTAGGGCCAGATTTGGCCCACGGGCCTTCAGTTTGTGTTTTAAAGCAACATTTATTTTTGTGTTTTTTTATTATTATTATTTTCCACATTGCATTTAGGAGCCCTCACATAAAACACATTTTATTCAGACTACCTGTGGGAACAGAACCAGTCCCTTTGGGGCCAGATAAAATTATGATGAGGGCCAGATTTGGCACCCCGGGCCTTCAGTTTGTGCTTTAAAGCAACATTTCTTTTTGTGTTTTTTAATATATATTATTATTTTCCACGTTGCATGTAGGAGCCCTCACAGAATCAAACACGTCAGGCCTCAGACCGTCTGTGGGAACAGAACCAGTCCCTTTGGGCCCAAAGGAGCCGAGGAGGGGAGGGGGCTAAGAGGAAGGAGGGAGGAAACGGTCCAAACTGGGACGTCCCACTAGAACTGTGTTGGGCGTGAGGCGGTGAGTGCGTCAGATCGTTGGGGCCCCGCGCACGGCTGACTTCTCTCCTGCTCTGCAAGGCTGACGGTAAGACGCCTTTTCCAATCAAAGCAAAAAACACTCGCTGAGCTTTTCATCGATTTGGTTCCTCAGATTAAAGATCCTGATTTTTTGTGAGATATTTGTGAGAGCGATCAGGATTTAAAGATGAAAAAAAATGAGGTTTGAAACATTTTCCCCTCATGGATTTAATTATTTTAATTATTATTATTTAGTTTGTTGTCTAAAGCAGCAACTTCTAACTTTCCTCTTTGTTCCCAAACTGATTTTTACAAACAACCGTCTGGTTTTACTGTGTGAAACCTGAGTATTTCTACTGAATAAAGGCTGCAAAGAAAACGACTCCCTGCAGGTAAAGATTCTGTGATTAGCAGGGTTTCTGTCTGTGGAGTCATTGTGCCACATCATCATCATCATCATCATCATCATCATCATCATCATCATCATCATCATCATCATCAGGAGGAAGAGAAGGAGGAGGGGTATTAAAGCTTCGAGGACTGATGGAAGCATCTGAAGAATTTCTTGCTTGTTTCTCCTCGTGTGGAAGAATAAAACACGTTTAAAAGTTTCTGTTTGGATGAAAAAAACTGTTTTTATTTGTTTTCGTTGATTGAAATATTTCTGTTCTGTTTGTGAAAAACAAACAAACAAACAAAGAATTAAAGAAAAAGAATGGAAAAAGCTTCACTAAATCCAAACGGAGCAAATGGCAGCATTTTTCCACTCCTCCTCCTCCTCCTCCTCCTCCTCCTCTGATGACTCCCATGTAAAGGAATGCCGGTTGCCATGCTAACCGGTTACCAGCTGTTTTTAAAACTTTAAACGTCAGGATTATCCCTGTCTGCAGRCAGAAATGTTCTCCGTGGTTCAGACTCGCTGCAGGTTTGGAGGAAGTGCAGCTCGGCGGTCTGTTGATCTGAGTTTTTGAGTTAAAAAACTCCAGAATCTGGAGGAAACTCTCCTTAAACATCTGAGCTGCTTTTGGTTTGTTTACAGTTTGATTTCAGTCTGGAACAGACTTTTACTTTAAACTGTATCTTACTCCCCCCTGTGAAAAGATAACTCCGCCCCAAGGCGAAATTTGAATAATGCATCAAAGTGGGTAGGGA